CACTAGAGCAATAATTAAAACACAATAGACCACAGGCAATAACGTCGATCTGTATAATTTAACTGTGGTTGGTCTTTTTAATTACATAGTATGCCAAACTGCCCGGCATAGAAAATCATAACATGTAACTCTTTATAAACCCCAATAGTGATGTCTACACTGAGGAACCATGCAAGCGTACAGCACTATGGAAAAAAGCCTAAGCAAGTGTATGCTTGTACAGCACTTTCAATGTAAATGCTCTTTCCCACATGAGACAATTGGAAAATCATGGGGAGATTAATTTGCCCCTTAGCAAATGTGCTCCAGAGCGGTTTTTATTTTAAACAGACAGCACTGAATGGTAATAAGGCAGCACAGAGATCACTGGATAAAAACAGTCAGCATTGGATGTAATAACACAGCACAGGGATCACTAGATAAAAACAGTCAGCGTTGGATGTAATAAGGCAGCACAGAGATCACTGGATAAAAACAGTCAGCGTTGGATGTAATAAGGCAGCACAGAGATCACTGGATAAAAACAGTCCGCGTTGGATGTAATAAGCCAGCACAGGGATCACTGGATAAAAACAGTCAGCGTTGCATGTAATAAGACAAGATCACTGGATAAAAACAGTCAATGTGGGATGTAATAAGCCAGCACAGAGTTCACTGCATAAAAACAGTCAGCGTTGGATGTAATAAAACAAGATCACTGGATAAAAACAGTCAGAGTTGGATGTAATAAGACAGCACAGGTATCACTGGATAAAAACAGTCAGCGTTGGATGTAATAAGACAAGATCACTGGATAAAAACAGTCAGAGTTGGATGTAATAAGACAGCACAGGTATCACTGGATAAAAACAGTCAGCGTTGGATGTAATAAGACAAGATCACTGGATAAAAACAGTCAATGTTGGATGTAATAAGCCAGCACAGAGTTCACTGCATAAAAACAGTCAGCGTTGGATGTAATAAGCCAGCACAGAGTTCACTGCATAAAAACAGTCAGCGCTGGATGTAATAAGACAGCACAGATCACTGGATAAAAACAGTCACCATTGAATGTAATAAGCCAGCACAGAGTTCACTGGATAAAAACAGTCAGTGTTGGATGTAATAAGACAGCACAGAGTTCACTGGATAAAAACAGTCAGTGTTGGATGTAATAAGGCAGCACAGAGATCACTGGATAAAAACAGTCAGCATTGGATGTAATAAGACAGCACAGAGATCACTGGATAAAAACAGTCAGTGTTGGATGTAATAAGGCAGCACAGAGATTACTGGATAAAAACAGTCAGCATTGGATGTAATAAGACAGCACATAGATCACTGGATAAAAACAGTCAGCGTTGGATGTAATAAGACAGCACAGAGTTCACTGCATAAAAACAGTCAGCGTTGGATGTAATAAGACAGCACAGGGATCACTGGATAAAAACAGTCACCATTGAATGTAATAAGCCAGCACAGAGTTCACTGGATAAAAACAGTCAGTGTTGGATGTAATAAGGCAGCACAGAGATCACTGGATAAAAACAGTCAGCGTTGGATGTAATAAGACAGCACAGGGATCACTGGATAAAAACAGTCACCATTGAATGTAATAAGCCAGCACAGAGTTCACTGGATAAAAACAGTCTGTGTTGGATGTAATAAGCCAGCACAGATCACTGGATAAAAACAGTCACCATTGAATGTAATAAGACAGCACAGAGTTCACTGGATAAAAACAGTCAGTGTTGGATGTAATAAGACAGCACAGATCACTGGATAAAAACAGTCACCATTGAATGTAATAAGACAGCACAGAGATCACAGGATAAAAACAGTCAGTGCTGGATGTAATAAGGCAGCACAGAGATCACTGGATAAAAACAGTCAGCATTGGATGTAATAAGACAGCACAGAGATCACTGGATAAAAACAGTCAGTGTTGGATGTAATAAGGCAGCACAGAGATTACTGGATAAAAACAGTCAGCATTGGATGTAATAAGACAGCACATAGATCACTGGATAAAAACAGTCAGCGTTGGATGTAATAAGACGGCACAGAGTTCACTGCATAAAAACAGTCAGCGTTGGATGTAATAAGACAGCACAGGGATCACTGGATAAAAACAGTCACCATTGAATGTAATAAGCCAGCACAGAGTTCACTGGATAAAAACAGTCAGTGTTGGATGTAATAAGACAGCACAGGGATCACTGGATAAAAACAGTCACCATTGAATGTAATAAGCCAGCACAGAGTTCACTGGATAAAAACAGTCAGTGTTGGATGTAATAAGGAAGCACAGAGATCACTGGATAAAAACAGTCAGCGTTGGATGTAATAAGACAGCACAGGGATCACTGGATAAAAACAGTCACCATTGAATGTAATAAGCCAGCACAGAGTTCACTGGATAAAAACAGTCAGTGTTGGATGTAATAAGACAGCACAGAGTTCACTGCATAAAAACAGTCAGCGTTGGATGTAATAAGACAGCACAGGGATCACTGGATAAAAACAGTCAGTGTTGGATGTAATAAGCCAGCACAGAGTTCACTGCATAAAAACAGTCAGCGTTGGATGTAATAAGACAGCACAGAGTTCACTGGATAAAAACAGTCACCATTGAATGTAATAAGACAGCACAGAGTTCACTGGATAAAAACAGTCAGTGTTGGATGTAATAAGACAGCACAGGGATCACTGGATAAAAACAGTCAGTGTTGGATGTAATAAGACAGCACAGGGATCACTGGATAAAAACAGTCAGCGTTGGATGTAATAAGACAGCACAGGGATCACTGGACAGGGATCACTGGATAAAAACAGTCAGCATTGGATGTAATAAGGCGGCACAGGGATTACTGGATAAAAACAGTCAATGTTGGATGTAGTAAGACAGCACAGGGATCACTGGATAAAAACAGTCAGTGTTGGATGTAATAAGGCGGCACAGGGATTACTGGATAAAAACAGTCAACGTACCTAGGTACCCACTTACCCATAACCCTCTGTTCCAGGAGGGGCGATCGGGTAGCCATTACCACCTATACCACGACACTCCAGTGCTTATGTTCAAAAAGGTAATTCATGAGAATGGGATAAAAATCCTCTCCCAACTGCTGCCTAGTCAGGCCGCTATAGACATTCAGCATCTACACTACTCCCAATTATTCCATTTCATACGCAGTACCAACCTTCTCCCGAAAGGGAATAGGAACCTTACGAGATTTGAAAGACTATGCCAACAGCACACATTAAAAAAGAAACTTCTATCAACAATGTATTCTATCTTGGCAGAGACAAACACTCACATCATTCCATACTTCACAACGAGGTGGATGGAGGAATTACAGTTGGCCATCACACCGGGTCAGTGGAAAGCTATAGTCATGACAGTACGCACATCGTCCACTAACCTAAGCACCCAAGAAAGCAATTATAAACGCATTGTTCGATGGCACTATACACCAGCATAAATCCATAAAATTCACGACACTGCTTCAGACGTGTGCTGGAATGCACCAATCCACCAATCCAATGCGCATACAACACATATATTGTGGCTTTGTCCAGAGATCCAGAAGTTCTGGAAACGCAGTCACACAATGATTCAATCACCTTAAATGTTCCTTTTTCCCCTGAATACATTTTGTTCTTAGCACCCATACCAAATGTCAAGGCTCCTACAGCCAGATTGATATCCCATCTTTTCATAGCAGCACATCTGCTCATCCCAGCTCTATGGAAGCAGGCAAACGCACCCACAGCCAGGGAATGGATACACAATGTTGAATATATAAGACAAATGGAAGAGATCACATTCTCAGTTATCAAAAAATTGTCGCAGTTCGCTCAGACATGGAAACCATGGCAGATTTACCCAATCGCAAAACATCCCCCATGACACTTCGCTTACTTCCAAGTAATTCAGGATCCTAGTCTGGGGAAATTATTGAAGATTAGATAATACCATGTCCCTTCTACCCCAATATGTAACGAATTGAGATATTGGACGGTAATGGTCTAGGGGGTTATCGTGACTATCCCTTGTTATCCGGGCTGTGGCTGTTTATATATGAATAATTATGCTCCAATGTTATCTATGAATGCTTAGGATCCATTGTTATCTTTGCAAGACAGTAATTCAAATTATTCAAATTGTACAATGAATGATTATGCTCCAAGGTTATCTATGCAAAACAATAATTAAAATTGTACTATGTTTTGACTTGTGTTTCAAAAGTCTATATATTTTATCATTTGCAAAAAATAAATAAAACCTTATTTAAAAAAAAAAAGTCAGCGTTGGATGTAATAAGACAGCACAGTAAAGACGCACTGGTGCAGTAAAGACGCACTGATCAACCGCTTTTAATATACATTTCATCATTACTTACAACATGAAGTCCTGTTCCCAGGAGGGTCGGTCACCTCTGACCGTCACAGTCGTGCTCTTCACATTCTGCACCTTTAAGGTCACATATGTATTAAATTTATCTGCAACAAATAAAAAGTTGCTAAATTAGTTCAGATATGGTTCAGAAATCAGTAAGAGATATAAACACAACTAGCACAAACTAAAAAATAAAAGTGAGACTTCTCTCAAGACTTGGCTGTCCGAGTGCTCTGATTGGTTGGCTTACCTGTCAACTAGGGATCGACCGATATTGATTTTTTTTTAAAACCGATACCGATATTCTGTGAACTTTCAGGCCGATAGCCGATAACTTACCGATATTCTGTACATTTACCATTTTGAAAAAATAAACTAATCCTAAAGGTAAATGCACAAAATATACATGCATGTGTAGTGGATGAAGTGTGTTTAGACAGGGGAGCTGTGTGTATTTGTGTAGTGTGTATATGATGAATGCAGAGTGTTTGTGTAGTGTGGGGGTAGTGTGCGTAAAGTGAATGCAGTGTTTGCATTTAGTATATACAGCATTCACTTTACGCAAAGTGTGTGTATTTGTTTTGTAGTGTCTGTAGTGAATGCAGTGTGTTTATTTGTATAGTGTGTGTATATAATGCAGTGTGTTTGTGTAGTGTGCATTATATAAACACTACACAAACACACTGCATTATATACACAGTGTGTTTATGTAGTGTGTTTATATAATGCAGTGTGTTTGTGTAGTGTGTATTATATAAACACACTGCATTATATACACACACACACACACACACACACTGCATTATATAAACACACTGCATTATATACACAGTGTGTTTGTGTAGTGTGTTTATATAATGCAGTGTGTGTGTAGTGTGCATTATATAAACACACTAAACACACTGTATTATATACACACTACACAAACACAAACACACTGCATTATATACACAATGTGTGTATATAATGCAGTGTGTATATAATGCAGTGTGTTTGTGTAGTGTGCATTATATTAACACACTGCATTATATACACACACACACACTACACAAACACACTGCATTATATACACACACACTACACAAACACACTGTGTATATAATGCAGTGTGTTTATATAATGCAGTGTGTGTGTAGTGTGTATATAATGCAGTGTGTTTGTATGGTGTGTGTATATAATGCAGTGTATGTGTATATAACGGAGTGTGTGTTTGTGTATGTATGTAATTGAGGGGGCATTTTTTATGAAAACATTATTTTTAAATATTTAATTATTATTTATTTTTGTCCCCCCTCCCTCCTTGTTGCCTGGCCAGGGAGGGGGGTTATGGCATTCCCTGGTGGTCCAGTGGCATGTACTGAGCAGTGGGGGCCCGCAGGTAGTGTTTACTTACCTTCCCAGTAGCTCCTCCAGCTCCCCTGTGTAAATCTCGCGGCCTGTGTGCCGTGCGGAGCGTTGCAAGATTTACACTGGGGAGCTGGAGGGGCTGCTGGGAAGATAAGTAAACGCTTGCTGCTGGCCCCCAACAGGACCGCCGGGCTTGTAATGAGCCTGGCGGTCCTGTTACATATTATCGGCAATATCGGTATCCGAATTGGCCGATACCGATACTGATGAAAATAAAAAATATCGGCCGATAATATTGGCCAGACCGATAATCGGTCGACCCCTACTGTCAACCAATCAGAGCACTCGTGGTCATATTGCAGAGTGTATGAAATTTTTCCATGCTTTGCAATTGCTGAAATAGGAAATTCATGGACCCTTCAGGCTAGCAGTTGCAGGTAACATTTAGGACCTGGGTACTGGCTAGTATTGTAGGATGAGCTTATAACTCTTGCTGTATTTATGTCTGAATAACTTAAAACAATAAAAATTCATAGTGGAAACTACAGCAATTTTCAGAATGCCAGTTCACCTTCCTTTGGCTCCAACACTGAAAATACAGCAATACACAGTTATGGACCTGTCAGATAACACTACATGAAATATATTATACCCCAGTGTGTTAAACTAATTTGCAAGTTTAATGGACCCTGGACACTTTATAAACTCTCAGCACGGACAGAGTTCAAAACAAAATACCTGAGAAGGATGTAAGGAGCCACCTGAGAATTACCGGCCAGTCTAACCTGTGAAGCGAGGGAAGATCTAAAATATTAATGGATATGCAATGAAATCAAATGGGGGGCCTGCTCAGACACAACATGGATTTATAGAACGTGACATGGAATAAATCTGTGAGGAACATATTGGATCTTTAAAGAACCATTCAAGGATGCCCCACACACATTAAACTCAGGTTCCCTTGCAGGGGATTTACTGCCAGATGAAAGAAATTTAGCTGTAAATTGAAATCTTAATGTGCCAAGAAGTAGAAGAAAACCAACAGAGATAAAGCATGATGTTATCCACTATGAAGCCGAAAGGTGTGTAGACAAGTTATGGTTGAACATCATTGTAACGGAGCTTCCTGTACCCTGGCTGGGTACCTCCGCCAAAGGACCAGTTCCTAGCTGGAACAGGGGACGAACCGCAGTGCTTCTGCCCCCCAGTCGCCAGGACTTGACTGGGATCCTGGAACCTCTCCATCTTGGAGCAGGCTAGGGGACTTGCTCTATCCACTCCCAGGGACTGGACGACACACAGTCCTGGGAGCTGGAGTCCTTACAAGGACTTTCCCCACTGAATCCTCCATGCTGGAACAAGCTGAAACAGTGATTAGCTCTTTCCCCTCCCAGTAACCAGACGACACATAGTTCTGGGAGTACAAGCTCGAATGCTTTAGTCTGGCCAGATGGCCTGCTTTTACTCAATAGCCCCTAGAAGGGGTTTCTAATCCAACATTAAAGGGAAATCTCTCCCTGGATCCTCTGTGCCTGAGATATAATTACCTGAGCAAACACTTATAATCTAATTGTCTCTCAGGGACAGAAAATATAATAATTTATAGAACACTCCAAAATACACATAATATACATTTTAAAAAAACAACAACAAAAGTTACCCCTGATAGCCCCGATCTGGGTGACCAATATATCCAAAAATCACACATATCGGTTCAGGGGTTTGTATTTTTCATGTTTTTTGACAGACCCCACATGTGGCTTAAGCCCAAAATAGTTCTGTGATGAACGCTTCTTTGCCTGGACGTTCGCCACTTTCTCCTGGAGGAGTGTGGAGGATAGTCTCCTGCCCACTGACTAAAAGGCCATGTTAAAAGGCTATTAAAATACTTGGTTCATGGTTCCCTTGAACTGTTCGAGAACCAAACCAACCCACGAACTGCGGGCCATCTCTGATCTTATTAACCCTTGTTAACCTCTCCTGACACTTCAATCAGTGAGAGTTCTAATTGTGCGGCTGGGTGGCCGCCATTCGTATGCACGAACGCATGGGAACTGTGTGGCGCCCATCTTGTTTGCGAGAATGCAGGCAGCGGTGTTTGGGCGTTGATCGTGTGGAACTAAAATTAGACACTGAAACTCCCGAACACGGCTGAACTTGGATGAACGCCTGCTCCTTCCCTAGACACGTCAGCAGAGTGCAATTCAGTAGGTTTGTTCGTATGTGTAACTGAGCTTCCTGTACCCCGGTTGGGTACCTTCACCGACATATGCTCCTAGTGCTCCCCGAGGACTGCAAGCATTCCACCAGACACCATCAGCACTGCAGAACTCATGAACCGCCGCAGCTTGGTTGGGGTCTCACCATCTCCTACCCACCCTGGACCTACAACAAGGCTCCAGGTTCCAGTGGGTGAACCTCTCTTACAAGAGCTCAGGGAATCCAAGGGAGTATAGTGATTATAGCAATCCCTTGTAGTGATATGGCAGTTTCCCCCAATAAGAGACAAGACTCTAGATTGAGGATGAAGTAAGTCTGTTTAATGCAAGCAAGCACTTTTATACATACATTTAAACCCCCAACAGCCTCATTTACATTCAATAGGTTACATAGAGCACTATAGTACAAGGAAGGGTGGGGTCAGAAAATAGCAAGGGCTGATGGGAGATTGAGGAGGGACAGAGCAGCTAGTTTAAACTGGTCTGGCAGTGTCCCTGGGACAACACCCTGCTGGGGAAACAATAGGACAGGAAAAGGAGGGAGGGGAAGAGGCACAGTCAAGCAATACAGTCAGAGATATTTGAGTCAGAAACTGTACAAACTCAATTATCTCCAGGTACAGAAAAACACACAATTTACAAACACCCCAAAAGTACCCCCAAGATCCATGGAAACCCCACAAGAGTCACATCCTCGGATAGCCCTGATCTGGGTGACCAACATATCCAAAAATCACCCAGATCGGTTCAGTGGTTTGGTTTTTCAATGGAAGTCACTTTTTAACATGTCTTTTTGCAGGGCCCATAGTCTTTGGGCAGGAGGCTAGCCAGCTGGCCACTCCAGGAACACGTGGCAGAGGAATTTCTGCCACACATATGGTTCATATGAACAAACGCTACCAAGAAGCCAGAGTGTGCGTTCAGTATTTCGTTCGCATGGAACTCCTGAAGTTGACTGGCAAAAGGACAAAATGCCCTGGAATGGTTTTGGGCGTAGGACCAGGTGTGTGGCCGGTCAGAACTTCCCCCACAGTGGAGTTTCCGCTGTGTTCGTGGGATCGGAGCGCTTTTTGGATATGTTGGGCGCTCAGATCTCAGCTATCCGGGGATGTATAAAGTATGGAGATTCTTGTGGTGGAAATATATATTTTTGTGTGTTTTCATATTTTGTGATTGTGGGAGTGTCATGGGTTTGTTTACGGTGTCCCTGAACTGTATTGTATAAAAGCAGGCCATTGAGCCTGGATTAAACAGATTTGTTTTACCCTTCATCAAGTCTAGGCTGATGTTTGGGGACTTGGGAGCTATAATCACTGCATCACTTAGTATATGGGAGACTTACAGCAGATATACTCAGCCAGAATATAGGGGATCCGTTACAAGTTCCATGAAATCAGTGCTAGTGGTCGGTCAATTTCGTTAACCATAAAAACGAATAAAATACCAAACACAATTTATAATTACAATGTGTAGCTTGTTCACCTCATCCATGCGAACGATTCCACCAAACAGTGCCCTTCCAGGTTGTGTAGAAACAAACGCAGGCGATGATGGAAGTCCAGCGGTGTTCGGGAGTTTCAGTGTCTGATTTTAGTCCCATGAGCTCGAAGCCCAAACACCGCTGCCTGCGTTTGCGGGAACAAGATGGCCGCCACCTTGTGGCCGTTCTAACAAACTGCGGCCACCCAGATGAACAATTAGAACACTGAGGTGGAAATCGTTACAAGGTGTCAATTGGGCTTAACAAGCACACGGGTGGTCTCTGGTTCGTGCAGTTGTTCGGTTCCCGAACGGCACTGGGAAATTACACAAACCAAACCTTTGTTGTCACAATCATCTTCTCAGTGCTGCTGAGCTTAATTGCCCCACCACAAGCCCCATGCAGCCTAGTTCATTGAAACAGCGTCTGAATTTCAAAGAGGTAACTCTTTGGAGTGGGGTAACTTTTCTGTGTAAAAACACTCTATTGAGCATTTTGCATAAGGTCACTCCCGGCAAGGGAGGTAGACCGAGGTAGGGTCTTTAATTTATTTTTTAAATGTCTGGTCACAGACATGTGAGAGAGTTCAGCAAATAAGGTCTATGGAGGATATGCAAGACCTACTGTGGGAACAGAGAAAGCTTGATGGTGAAAGCTTTGCCTTTTGTCAACATCTATTTCGTCCATAAGAAAATGTAGTTCCTATTTTGACTACAATGGAATTTCAAAGATTATTGCAGTCAATGTATTATGAAATC